AAAACCTTATTTGCCTGGCATCATATTTCTAAGCATTAATTTTTTTAGGGTTGGTTTGCAACCTTCAGGTTATAACGAATAACTAATTCGTGGGTCATGAATTAAATAGGTTTCTTAGCATCTTTTTTTTTTTTTGTCAGTTGTGAGGCTTAAAATTAGGGCCTGGGCACTGTACAAGTTTTATTGCCCTAGGCTAGTAGCTATAACTCCACTTTCAGTTTCACTTCCAGGTGATTAGCTGGAGAAGAGAGGCTTCCAACCACAATCCTCAGATCTCAGCCACCTGAGTAGTACTGGAATAAGCCACCATGACCAGGCTTATTTATTATTTATTTATTTATTTTTATCATCAAGGTGGTGTACAGAGGGGTTACAATTATATACATAAGACAGTGAGTCATTTCTTGTTATCCCTTTCCTCTTTTTTCTCCCACTTTCTCTTCCTCTCAATATCCTTCCCCCAAAATTGTAAAGTTTATTTCCAACATGGCTTTTTTTATGCCAGTTCTCAGGGTCGGGGTGTTGTCCCTGAACTTCTTTTGCACAAGGCTAGTGCTCTACCACTTCAGCCAAAGTACTGCTTTCTGCTTTTCTGACAAGTTTTGGAGCTAGGAGTCTCATGGACTTCCCTACCCAAGCTGGCTTCAAATCCTCAGATCTCAGCCTCCTGAGTAGCTAGGATTACAGGCATGCATATCAGTGCCCAGGTTTCTTAGCATCTTTTAAGAAACTGAAAAAACAGCATGCATTTCATGAAGTTACACTAAATATCATCTCATAAGACACAAATCACAATTATGGGTATTTGTAGTGTGCATAAGAATATATTTGTTCTTTGGGTAATAATATAGAGCTTACTAAAGGTTATAGTCAAAACATGTTTGAATGTCACAGTGCAATAATAAAATTCTTGCTCCTTTACAGTGATAAGCTATTAAAACTAAGACCATGAATGAGAATTGGGGGTCAGAGAAAGAAGGGAGGAACACAGACCAGAACACACATTAATCAGCCATCTTCTGGTTCTGGTCATTTTTTACTACTGTACTTAACAGAAAACTGTTGATCCTGCTGCAGCCAACTAGTTTCCATCTTTTATACTAAATACTACTCCATACCATGGAAGTGCTATGCAATAACTCTCCACGGAGCAACTTACCCTTCTGATATGAAGGTGTCACAGTAAAAATATGTAAACACTTAGGAAACAAAAATGTACTTATTTGATAAAGTCACCTATGTCCATGGAACAAGCTCATTTGTCACTAAAACCTATACTGAAATCTTCAGGTATTATCTATCAATATAAGATTCAGAATAAGTGAACAATGTATCTTGAAAGAATAAAATTCTTAGCTATTCCCTCTCCTTTCTTTGTTAGTTTTCAAGATGTGATTTTCCTGGCCCAAAACCTTGGGATGAGAAATGTAACAGGCATGTTGAGTCTTCTCCCTTTTGGCCTTGCTAGTCAATCTTTTATTTACTTCTCCCATTCTCTGCAGTCAACCAGATAATGGCACCTCTCCTCTGACCCCCCAAAAGATAGCAGGTCCTAATCCTTGGAACTCAAGAATATTACCTTATTTAACAAAGTCTGTGAAAGCATGATTAAACTAAGAATTGTGGGATGGGGGTGATAACCATGGATTACACATGCAATTACATGTATAAAAAGAAGAGAAAGAGATTTTATAACACAGAGGCCAAGAAAACAGAATAGAGATTTCAAGATGCTGACTGTGTTCGACTTTTCCTCAGCATGACAAAATACCTGAACAAACAAGATAAAGGAAGATAGATTTATTTTGGATTGGGCTTTGAGTTCATTGTAGTAAGGAGGCAAGGGTGGAGCAGAACATCTCACATGGTGGTGGGCAGGACGCAGAGACTGCTGACATTAGCTCGTTCTCTACTTTCCCTTTCATTCCATACAAGGCCTCAGCCACTGGGTTGGCACTGCCCACAGATCTCCCCTTAGTTAATCCTATCTAGAAACACTCGAGCTATATTATTCTAATGACTTCTCAGTCCATTCAAGTTGACAAGACTAACTAGCACAGGCTAGGGACATAGGTTAAGTATTACAGTGCCTCCCTAAACAGTACTGAAAACAAGACAAGATTAACTATCACCTTATTCTAAAAGACCGGAGTAAATCAGTAACAAGTCCTTAAGTGCTGGAGTCATAAAAAGCTAGAAGAACCAAGGAAAAAATATTTATCCATTCATAACTCAATGGATAGCTTAAAAGATGTTTTAAAAGGCCTTTTCCAAGATTTTAGCAAACAGGAAAGAAATTACCAAACTTATATCCATGAGAAAGGTATCATGAGACTTAGGAAGGCCACTGCCCAGCAATCTGAAATGTAGCTTCCCTCCTAATAATAAATCCCTATGTAGAATACTACATACATATTTTCTAACATTGCAAAATTTAGCAAAGTAATTAACGCTATCCTTAGCTTACAAATGAGAAACTCAGAAATAAGCTGGGTGCTGGTGGCTCATACCTGTAATCCTAGCTACTTAGAAGCCTGAGATCTAAGGATCAAGGTTTGAAGCCAGTTCGGGCAGAAAAGTACCCATGAGACTCCAATTAACCACTCAAAAACTGGCAGTGGCACTGTGGCTCAAGTGGTAGAACACTAGCCTTGAGTACAAAGAGGCTCAAGGATCCCCCTAGGCCCTGAGTTCAAACCCCACAACTGACAAAAATTAAAAAGTTTGTTTAACCCACAGAACTAACGACAGAACTAGAATGAACCTGCAGCTTGTTCTAATATTAAATCTCTCACTGAAGACCCAAAGGCTAATTCCTGTAATCCTAGCTAGTCAGGAGGCTAAGGTGGGAGAATAAAAGTTCAAAGCCAGCCCTGGCAGAAAAGTGCATGAAGCTCTTATCTACAATTACCCACAAAAAAGGCAAAAATAGATGTGTGGCCCAAGTAGTGGAGAACCGATCTTGAGGAAAAAAAAACTAAGAGACAGCACCCAGGCGCAGATTTCAAGCCCTAGTACAAGCATGCACACACACAAAAGCTATACCTCCAGTATTTGAGGCTGGGCTTTGGTGTTCTAAGCTGTTTCTCAAGAAAATCAAAAGAAATAGTTTGCATATACCAAAGATATGCATAATAAAATTCCCAGGTAGTATTCCAGCTTGTTTCTGCTGACATGCCTCCTTTGTTTTTTTCTTCTATAATTGTTCCATTAAAAAAACCTAGATAAAAGAGGAGGTAAAAAGAAATATATATTTAACTCGTGTCTCAGTGTCAACACAGTAAGTCATGAGTTGACAGATATTATATCACAATAAAGGCACTTGCACCTCCATGTTCATTGCCATACTATTCACAATAGCCAAGTTACAGAAACAGCCCAGATGCCTTACAATAGATGAGTGGATCCAAAAAGAACGTGGGAATTCTAAACAGGGAATTTTACACAGCCATGAGAAAGAATATTATATCATTGGCAGGGAAATGGATACACTAGAACAAGTCGTGTTAAGTGAGCTAAACCAAGCTCAGAGAGACAGTGTGTTTTCTCTCATGCACAGAAGCTCTAAAATAGACCTGAACAATTATACAGGACTGTAGACATTCAGACACAGACCAAAGGAGGATGGATACTCTTAGGGGAGGAACACAAAGGCACAATGTCTATGTGCCTTTTATCATATAAGATAATATTTATCTAAATGAACTGCAGAAAATGGAAACAGGAACTCTTTCCTTTGTTGTTTTCTTTTTTGTCTTATTTACCTGTTTGGGGAGCTTAAGGGGGCACAAAAATGTAGGGACAAGGAGTGAGCAAATGCAGCAGTCTTAAGACATTAAAAACAAACTATAAAATTTGTGGATAAGGACAGGGTGGAAAAACTGGGAAGGGGTGACACTGCCCAAAGGAAATCTACTCATTACATCATCTTTACCTTACCTTTAAAATAACAAGTAAAAACTTAAAACTAAAAAAAAAAAAATATTACATCACAAAAAATCCCTTAGAACAAGAACAGTCCTTGGCAATTCATATGCAAACTGTTTCTACAGAGGAAAACTAAGTGAAGATATTTGCGTATTTTTAAATAATCAAGTCGTAAAAGCAGAATTGCTCAAAAAAGAGATTTTTAGTACTTGTAAGTTCTAAATGTTAAGTATATCATTCCAGACACCACACCTTTAACGTCCCTTATTGTCATTACTACCTTACTGTTGTCATCAGTGTATTTCTCTTCCCAAGCATCGAAGTAGAGATTTATAAAACCGAGTCTTCAAAGGGAAAAAACAATTTCATTTTGAAGACTGCGAAGGAAATATTAGTGATTATCAGTTACAGGACTGCTGAGTCCTGTATGATCAGAACACTAGCTGTTTTTAGCAGTAATTACATTTTACAAAATAAAAAAAGCAGGTGTTCTCGGAAGTCTCGTCCCCAGTCGAAATCGGATTGTTCTTAGCAGAAGCGCGCGGCCCAGGCGGCGCC